GATAAACTTAATATATGCTCCGGAATCTTATTGTAAAAACGTATACAATTCCCCATAAAAGAATTGTTTACCTTAATTTAATTGGTTAAACGAAATCGTGGTACAATGAGTTTGGACATAGCTCTAAGCTTAGAATAATAACGCATAGAAACCTAGCCCGCACACGCTAAGTGAGGCAAGTTAGAGGGTTCCAAACGCGTCCCAGGAGCGCGCGGGCTGTTAGTGCTCAAGGTCATATTGCACCGCGAACAGCTCCAAAATTTTTTGCTAAAAATGACGAAATGTGCGGTAAATGGGTGTAAAAATACAACAGACAAACATAAAATAGACACTAACATCGCATTCCACAAGTAAGTAATGCGTTTCAACTCATATTTTTATGTAAATATTCACTAAAACAGAAAAATAATTTCGCGGCAACAAGATACGAAAGTGTTGCAAAGTAACGAATTTTTTTTCTCCCCATTTTGCTATTCTGTTTCAAAATAATTATATTACGTAAATTTTAGTGGTGCCTGTAATTTCGATTTATTTGCGCATCTTGAACAATAATATTTACTTGAATAAACATTAATTAATGTTTTCGTTAACTTGTGATGAAAGTGATTGGGACACTTAATTATTTTATAATACTTTTAACGGCTCTGCGTTCATGCTTTATTGAATAATTATTTCTTTTAATTTTATTTGAATAGGAGCACATATTGCAACAAATTTACAGTATATATTTGTTTCTACTATAGTGTTGGCACCACCAGTACAACTTTGATAGCTTATTATATGTCTTTATTTTCGTAACTCAAGCGAAATATTTTATATTGAAATATTTTATTTTCTTAAAAGGGGAGCATTCTTAAGCGATTTTTTAATCTATTTTAACAGTTATTTTCTTTAATGTTTGCTTATGGCATTTTCGGCTTTAGGTTTCGAATATGGCACTTATTTCTAAATCCAAGATGGCGGGCGCGATTTTTCGAATAATGGCAAGTTGGGTATCGTTTTCGAGATGTTTGGGAATGTTCAATACAAATATGGCACTCATTTCTAAATCCAAGATGGCAAACACGACAGTTCAAACAAAAGCAATATTCGTAATGAGCACCCCCAAATACCTCGAAAACGATACCCAACTTGCCATTATTTGAAAAATCGTGCCCGCCATCTTGGATTTACAAATAGTGCCATATTCACATTGAGCATCCCCAAATACCTCGAAAATGATACCCACATAGCATTTTTTTTTAAAAATCGTGCCCGCCATCTTGGATTTAGAAATGAGTGCCATATTCG